CTCAAATTCTCCAGCATCGGCAGTTCCTACTATCTTTAACTATTTGAATCCCACTTTTCAGTGCTTGGCCCATAGCTTTGTATACCTTGGCGGCACAAGTGCACATCGAAATATTTCGTCAATGTGAGGAGGGTTTCCGCCTCTACCACTCTTACAGGAAATGAGCTCCAGATTCCCACCATCTTCTGGGTGAAAAAGATTTTCCTCACATCCCCTTCTAAACTTCTAACCCCTCCACTAAGGGGTAAAATTTCTTCCTGTCTACCCTGTCTAGGCATCTCATAGTTATGTACATCTCAATCATGTCCCGTCTCAATCTCCTGTGCTCTAAGGAAAACAACCGCAGTCTGTCCAATCTCTCTTTATAACTGAAACTCTCCAGCCCAGGTAACATACTTGCAAATCTCCTCTGCACCCTCCCCAGTGCTATCACATCCCTACTATAATGTGGATTTCAGAACTGCACACAATACTTTAGCTGTCACCAAACCAACGCTTTATGCAGCCTGCAAAAAGAAAGCATCAAAAATCTGTATATCTCTCTCTGTCTCTGTCTGTCTGTCTGTCTGTCTCTCTCTCCCATCCCCCGTTTCTGGGGGTACCTACTGGACGGGTCACTGGCCCCAAAATGTTAACTGTGATTTTTCTTCGCAAATGCTGCCAGACCTGCTGAGCTTTTCCAGCAACTTCTGTTTCTGTTCCTGATTTACAGCATCCGCAGTTCCTTCAGTTTTAATGAAAGAATGAACATCGCTGTGCAAACCTTTATTCCTTTATCCTATATCCCTTTATTTTTCTACTTTATATCAAGAAGGACTTTAATGTTAACTGTGACCTTATTTCTTTGTTTTTCTACTTATTCTAAGAAGGTCTGCAATGCTTAACTTTTTAACTTAGTTTCTCTCTTTTACTACGCTATACTTAAGATGGCATTGTGCGTGACGACATAATACACCTTTTTCTGTACTTCTGTACATGAGTACACATGACAATAAGACCTAAATCTAAATCGAAATAATTTTATGTTGACATTAAAGAATCAAAAGGAAAGGAAATCCTTTCCCCCTTTTCCACCCTTAATATCCATGTCTTGCCTCTTTTTCCTTCCCTCTTTGTTTGTAAAAGAACAAATTTAAGAAGGGGTAGAATTTAAGTTATAGAGTATATGTTAGCAATTGCTATTTCCTTTTGACCATTAGTTAAAGATAATTGTCTCACCATGAGTGGTTATTTCCTTGTTAATGACAGAAACCTGGTGAGTAGTTTCTTTTAACCTGAGTTTTTGTTGTTGGGTAAACTGGGGACTTTGGATAATGTGACTTAATCTTTTCACATTTCAACCTTCCAGAATTGTAACACATTGCCCTGATGGGTCATGACACTGGATAGTCTTTTAGTCTCAGAACCAATTTCATTTTGTTTCGGTGTTTTCTGCCCACTATGAAGTTGTGTCTTACTTGAGTTTTAGTCATGTTAAGAACATATGAAAATTTGATTTAGAAGTAGATTTAATCCGTTTGGTGTCAGAAGCCTATTCTGGCATTTGATAAGAGCTTACAGTCATAGGGTCATAGCGATGTACAGCACAGAAATAGACCCTTTGTCCATGCTGACCAGATATCCTAAATTAATCTAGTCCCATTCTTGGCTCGTATCCCTATAAATCCTTCCTATTCATATATCCATCCAGGTACCTTTTAAATGATGTAATTGTACCGGCCTCCTCCATTTCTACATGTCTGATCTGACTGTGGCCTCAACCTCACTTTTTGTCTACGCTTTGTCTTTCTTCTGAGTCAACAATCAGTCTACTCTGTGTTAAAAATCTTCAATGACCCCGCCTCTCTCACTCTTTGGGGAAAAGAATTTCACAAACTCTCTGAGAAAAATAATTCTCCTCAACTCCATCTTAAATGGTCAGAAATCGCGCGACACCAGGTTACAGTCCAATAGGTTCATTTGGAAACGGAAGCTTTCGGAGCGTAGCCCCTTTGTCGGCTGATTATTGTGGTCTGGAATGCATGGCCCAAAAGGATGGTGAGGGCACGTTCAATAGGAGTTTCCCAAAGGATATTGGATAGGTATTTGAAGAGGAGCTATTTGGAATTTATACGGTGACGGGGCGAGATTGGGATGGGATTGAGTGGGATTAGTCGCGCAAGTTGTTTAAAGAGCCAGCACAATATTAATGGGCCCAATGGCCCACATATCCATGCTGCTGTCTTCGATGGTTCTGAATGAAGATTGTGAGTGAGAGGTGGAGTCAGAGGTTGCAGGGTACGGTGAGGGATGAGGAACTAGTGAGGGACGGTGTGGGAGTGTGCGACGGCTATGGGGGAGTGTGGGACGGCGTGCTTGGCTGTGGGGAGTGAGGGAGTGAGGGACAGCTGTGGGGAGTGAGGGAGAGCAGTGGGGAGTGAGGGAGAGCAGTGGGGA